AGGCATGAGTCAAAAGTTATTGCAGAAAAACTGTTCCCGAAAATATCTTCTATTTTGGTAGTTTTTTTGCCCCTTGCAGGCAAAACCGTTGACGTTAGGTCAAATCTAAGAGAAATAACCAGAAAGCATGCTAATATGGCTATCAAATGCGCTTTTCCGCAGTGCCGTAGCTCTAATTGGTTCCCGAGTTATCCGTCGGCATCTTGTAAACTGTCAATATTCTACCTGAAAATCGGCGAAATTTGGCCTTCACCATGACCTGACCTTTGACCTGACGAAAAAAGTGGCCGCAGTAATATCGTCATTATTTTTGACGCTGTTTCGAACGAAGAGGGATTATGGGGTGCAAAACGATATGTTTGCCAATGCACGCCTATGTTTTTGGATAGAAATTGAGGGTGCAGCTGCACGCCGTGCACTCCCTTTTCCGTCGCCCCTGATTTCTTGCCACAAACGTCTTCAACCGCTCCCGAATGAAAGAATGTACGTTAATATTGATATCTTCCCATTTTGTGGAGGTTGGGCAAAGCCTGACCACTACTGGGGCATTCCTCGACTCTACTGGGGCATTTGCCCCAGTAGTTAACATGTTAGCCGAGGCCCTGGCCCAAACCGGTATTTGCAGACCATGGCCAACAATTTGGCTATCTCAACTCAAAACTAATGTTAAGGTGGGATGGTCACTTTAAGGTCTCAGGTCAACCGGTGACCTCTGTCGGCCGACCTCTCAGTCGGCCGGTGACCGCGAGCCAGGTCGGACGTGCGTGCGCAGCTCCGCCCCCTACTGAGACTGGAGGTAGCGCGTCCGAGCGGCTCGAACGCTGAGGGTGTTACCGACGACTTTTTGGTTAACAGTCCAGCCATATGACTGTGTGATTTCTTTTTCTGTGCGGTGTAGCCTGTGGACGAGGCAAGATTTGGACCTTTGTGGAGCGCCCGCGATTCTGAGCAGTGTTTGTGCGCACGCTTTCTGCCGCCATGGAGAGTGTCAGTGCGAGAGACAGTGACACTGAGCGCAGCGAGCGGCACTCAGTGAGTGAACTAGTGAGGAATTATAGTGACTCGCAAAGCGAAGCGCAGAAACGCGGCAGATCGGAATCCGGTGATCCAGCGCCGGCGGGGAAGCGTGGTGCGGGGAAGCGTGGTGGTATTTTACCGTCTGCACGAACCACGGGCACTATCGGTGCGGCCCACTGAGAGTCACGAACGGGCACCAACACTCCATTTTTAATGTCAGCATCTAGCTGAGTTTCAACCTTGTCTTTGTAAGCAAACGGCAGTGAACGAGCCTTGCAGAACTTTGGCGGTACGTTTGCATCAATGTCCAGCTTTACTTTAACATTTTTCAGTTTACCCAGCTCTGAGCTAAACACTGTCGGGTACTTGCGTTTGAGTCGCTGCAATGGCGACGAAGACAGGCTGCATCGGTGGACTTCAGACCAGCAGATCTTCATCCGCTCGAGCCAGTTGCGTCCCAGCAGACATGGAGCCGACCCCTTCACGACGATCACCGGCAGCCGGCTGTGAGAGGCACCATGGTAGACGACGTCAGTGACAAACTCGCCCAGCACGGGAATCAGCTCCCCAGTGTACGATCGCAGTTTGACGGGACACGCAGTCAGCTTGGGGCGGTCACGCATCCGCTTATACGTTTATTCATCTATTAACGTAACCCCCGCCCCGGTGTCCAATTCCATGTTAACCCCGATTAGCCCTCCGATGCTGACGGGGCACCGGATGGGGGGCGGACTGACCTGGCCACGGTTCACGATGCATACTGGTAGACCTTGGTCGGCGACGTTCGTGAAGCTGATGTCCTGCTCCTTTTCCCGACCTCCTTGTCCCCGGTCAGCGGCTCCCGCATCCTGCAAATGCACTGTTATGTGCCACACGCACCCGTTCCTCTTCGTCCTCCGTGCACTACACAGTCGTGGTACACTTCAGTCTGCATTGTTCCTCGCTCGGCGCTCCGCCGCAGACTGACGCCCGCCCGGCGCCGCGACCCGACCGCCGGTCAGCGGCCGGTCGGTCGCCCCGGGCGGTGACGTCACAGAGTGGCCAGTATGCGGGCCTAACAGGTACGGGTCTGCCCCCACAACACTCCTCCCCCCTAAATGAAAACGCGACACTTCACAGAAAATGGCCACAACTCAACACAACAACGGCGCATCACGTACAGGCACACCCTGCAGGTTGCGCCGCCATACGCCAGACTTCGGCAACACGAACATCACAGAGTCTTAACACAAAACACCACCCGCTCGAGACCCATCAGCGACACGATTACCAAACTTCGGCACCGCGACTACAACAGAATCCCAACATAACACCACACACTCGCGGCGCCTCAGCGACAACAGAACAACACCGAGCGCGACCGCCGCACGCAGCCCGGTGCCTCACGCCCGTCACGGCGCCGAGAGCCGGTCGCGTCGCCGACCGCGCCCGGGGCGCTCCGCCCACGGTCCGGGACACGCCGGGAGCGCCGCCCCCGGCCTGGGACATACTGCCCTCGGCCTGGGGCGCACCGCCCTCGGCCTTGAGCACGCCGCCATCGAGACCATCGTCGTTATCAGTCGGTAGGGGCCCGGCCTTACCCGGGATGTTCATCGGCGGCCATGAAACCTCCAGGCTATCGTCAGCCGCCACCATCCCACTGAAGTCTGGTGGGTCGATCTCACCCTCCAGTATTTGTTGGAGGATGTTGTCCGCGTCGGGCTGGTCGTCCCCCTGGTCGGGGAACAGCTCCTGGTTTACATCAGGTGCGGTGACATCGATGGCGTCGGCGCCCCTCGGGAGGACCACGCTCTGCCCGAGCGACAGTCTCTTGACGGCGCGCCAGAGTGCCGCCACCTCCTTCTTTCGCTCCTCCCTCTCTGCCTCCAAGCACGATCGGAGTCGGCTCAACTCACGCTCCATCTCTGAAATTGGATCGCTGTCAGACAACGTCCTCGCCATACATGGGGCCAAACGACATGTGTCTGATTAAAGACGGATTGGAGGGCGTGAGACTCGCCCGGACCTAGTGACATAGGGACCTAGTGGTCGCGAGGGTGGTTCGGCTGACTTAGTAAGTATGAGTAAGCGGGCTATTTCTTCCCCAGAAAGCCCCTCTGTCACTTCCTCAGTGTCGCGCTGTGGAGTGTGCCCGGCGCGCTCTTGTTCGGGGATCATCTCGGGACACCTCGTTCGGGATCTGGGTTGGTCGGGATCGGAGTTGGGTCGTCGGGGCGGGACCCTTGGGGCGGCGCCACCCCCGTACCTGGTCGACTCCACCACTGGTTTCAGGTGATTGTGGTGCACCACCCGTATACGACCGGTGTGGTCCTGTACACGGTAGGTTACCTTACCTACCTTATCCGTGATCGTCGCGGGACCGGCGTACGGGAGACCAAATTTTGGCTTACCGCCAACTGCTGCTCTGTGGTCGCGAACCCAAACCCGGTCACCAGCCCGATACCTGGTCTCGTTCTCTCGCCGGCCGTGACGCTTTACCGACTCCCTCCCCGCTCGCTCAGTCTCGACACGAGCGAGATGGTGGGCGTCGTGCATTGCCTTCAGCCGATCCGTTACGAACGTCTTTGCGGGCACCAGCTCTCTTGGGGGAACATATGTAGCTTCCAGCGGCATGCGCGGCTCAAAACCGTGCACCAGGAAGAACGGGGAGAAGCCCGTTGCGCTGTGGACGGAGGAGTTATATGCCATAGAATAGGCCTTCACATCCACATCCCACTGCGGGCCTCCCCCGCTGACATACTTGGCCACCATATCCTTCAACGTCCGATTAACCCTATTCCTGGCGGGGGGGGGGCCTCATGAGCCCCCCCCTGAGGTTTTTTGGTTATTTCTCCCAAACGCGCTGAGCTAGGAAGCTCAAATTTTCTGACTTTTCCTAAAAGGCTTCAACGCAACATGTCTGAAAATTTTGAGTTGATCTGACCTCAGGTCAGGTCACCAGAGGCGGTTTGGTGACCCTACCTCAGAAAAGTTTGCAATCACGCCAGAGCTAGAGTTTTTGACCGATCAATTTCTTCTCTTCAGGCTTTAGTTAGGGTACCAGTATGTGCAATTTGTATATCTCGGAATTTTGATATCGGTGACCTAAGGTCAGGTCAGTTTCGCGACCTCCCCATTATAAGTCAATGGGGGAAAAATCAACTCCCTGTTTTTACCACTAAAACGGGTCGGAATGGCCCCATATACCATACATGACTTCATATACGATCAACCTTCACTACCTTGAGGTCTACTTTGCTGTTGGGCAGCTTTGAGGTCATGTGACGTCATCAAAGGTCACCAAAGGTTTTTGGCCAATAACTCCGTACAGGAACAAGATACAGACGCGGGGATGGTCTCATTGTGTTCAGCTCGTCAAGACGCATCGAATGATATACATGATGACCTCGAGGTCCCGTGACCTGAGGACCTTGACCTTTCGAGGTCAACATATATATCATTCGATGCGGATTGACGAGAGGATCACGATGATGCCCTTAGTTTGTTCCTATCTTGACTAATTCGAAAGTTATTCGAGAAAAACTCTCTCCATATCTAGCGCCGCCATTTTGACTTTTTCGACCCCTGTGACGTCATCTTTGACCTGACCTGAAAATGACCTTGGTAAAAATTGTAGATCTTGACCGTGCGTATCCGATGCCGTTTACCGTTTGTCGCTGCGATGTGTAGTTTTTGAGATCTGAAGGGGGGGCCGAATCGGCCCCCCGCCAGTTTCTTGTCCCGGCGGAGCCCGCCAGGAATAGGGTTAAACCTTTCGACCATGCCATCACTCTCGGGGTGGTAGGGCGTGGTCCGCGTCTTGTGTATCCCGAGTTTCCTACACATCATCTGAAATAGATCCGATTCAAATTGTCTCCCTTGATCGGAGTGGAGACGCTCGGGTACCCCCAGATACACCCAATCTAGGAGTGCCTCCAGGACTGTCTCGGTTTTTTTTATCTGGCATGGGATAGATACGGACAAACTTGGTGAAGTAGTCCATGATGACGAGTGCGCACTTGTTGCCCTTCAATGAGTGCGGCATCTCCGTGATGTCGATGGCGATCCTCTCAAATGGCCTGGACATGACTTCCGTGACCATCGGTGCTCGTTTCTTTGGGTTCGGACGGCGCCTTCGCTGGCAGAGGATGCATTCCTCGCAGTAATTACAACATTTCTGTGATCGCTGACCGCAAGATTTGACGGCGATCTGCCCTTTCTCATTCCTCTTCCGTCGGTGCCGACAGTCTGTCGGAGCTGGCGGTTCGTCGTCGACGATATCGTCGGCGACTGTCGGCAGGAGATCGCCGACCGGTCGGCTCGGGGGTTTAACGCTCCAACACTGACAAGTCTGCAGCTGGTGGTAAGGGTAAAGGACCAGCCGGATATGACCTCGCTGAAGGCGCCGACCGCTGAGACGGACACCGACATCCGACTGGTCGGTAAGCCCTGCCTGGGACACACTTCACACGATCTGGTGATTCCATATGTCATGGGACCTGTCCATGTGATCACTACTTCATTAACGGTGGGACTGTGTTCCATATATCATACCACCTGTCCATATGATCACTAGTTCACTTACGCTGTATGATGCTGATTCCAGCGGACAGTTGCCACGCCCTGCAGACAGCCGACCTGCGCGGCTTCAAGCTGGAAGCCTCTGCCCTGCGCCGGCTGGCGCGTGCGAACGCCTCCAGTCTGCGTGAGCTGACGCTGCCGGCCGGCATCAGCGACTGGCAGCTGGAGGCGCTACTGAAGCCACTGAAGGCTTTGGAGACACTAAATCTGAGCCTACCCGTGGACAGCACCGGCAAGTGGCTGTGGCTGCTGCCCAAGTCGCTGAAGAGACTGGACATCACTGGTAAGACCGCCGTGCGGTACCAGATCACATCGTGATGTAATAGAACCGCGCCTGTTTGCCGCTGCACCAAGCCATTTACAGTCTTCCAGTCCTTATTTAGTGATGATTCATTTGCCGTCTGCTTCGGTCCTATGGGTCTAATGCTGTCCCAGGTCTCTAAGTTCCAAGTTCCCGCGCTGGTAGAGCATCTTAACTGTTTGCTAGTCACTATAGTAAACCCTCGCCCTGGAAGGGAGGGGGGGGGGGGGTCGGGTCGATGCGCCCAAGGCCCTAAATACAAGGTTGCACGGACTTATTTCTACTAAACCTACCAGAATATAGTTTCACAGTTGATTATTTAAATAATTATTCAATCAAAATTTCTTTATTATTATCTCGTAATCATTTATAAGCAATTTTATAAATCAACTTTCAATTTGCTTGCCTTTTACTAGCAAAATAACTTTTCTAGTATTGGGTCAACATAGTGGTGTAGCAGTAGGAACCACATCTGGCAAAACCCCAATGCCTACATTAGGGTGACCGGTTTTGCACAAAGTTTCGAAAAGTTTTGCTCCCCAGGTCTAATCTAACGTATTTGGGGGTGCTGATGACGAATCCGGCGGAAAAATATAAAATTCGAATTTATTTTGACCGCCCCGGCTCTTTGAATATTTTCGGTTTTCTCAATTTTTGCATGTTTTTGAATAATATGATGAATATAATGAAAAAATATTAACAATGTATCGCTAAATGCATGTACCAGTCGATTCGGCATACAGCGGCATCGAAATCGGCACGCCGCCTGCTTCACCGGCCTCGCAGGAAAGCATAAGCTCGAAAGGTTTGCGTTAGTTACCCGATTCTCTCCATAGATGGCGCTGGCGTAGCCGCCCCCGGCCGGTCGTTGCCGTGCCGTTCACAGCCCCGGCGGTCACTTGCGACCGTCGTGGTCGTTATGCTACGTATATCAAAGCACGACAGAAATGTTCACTTCATTTTTATGTTACTTCAGACATATTTTAGACCTAATGTTGAATTGGATAAATGACTGTCGTGAATTGGCGAAATAGTGGAGTGCGCTCGGGGGCCATTTACAATAGCGAGGAACGTAGGTGGATTGATCTGAGTAACATATGACACTGCGTTCACTGTTGATATGAAGTTTATTCACACTATGTAGTCGGGTGACATGAGAACAAACCTTGAACCTTGAGAACATACCTTGTGTACGACACATGGATGAAGCTAATGCTAGGTACTTTTTCATTTTGTTTCGGTAGGCCCGTTTGTTCAGAGCGTAGCCGTCCTGTCGGTCTGCGCCTGTTACAGCTGTGACTGATTCGGTGGTCAGCTTTACAGCCTTTTCGGTGGGTTGGGAATGGCAGCTGCCGGACATTGGTCACGTGACCACATTTTCCGTGTGACCTTGAGTTGGCACCAGATTTTGTCGACAGACATGGCGCAGCTTATTTTACTGCATTATTTTATATACTAAATATTTAGGCGTATGGTGATAAATGATACCGTGCAAATAATATTGAATCATCGGTGACATAGTTACCATTGATACTTGAATAGCATCAATAAAATGCAATTAATCTATTATTACTCTTCCATTGATTTTATTGTGTTTGCAGGCATAGGTAGAAACTGAAAAGCTGAGCCTGCAGCTTACAGTTGTTCTATACAGTAGCAGCGGAACAAGGGGGGGGGGGGCACTGCCGACTTTCGGTCCGATTCTTTCCATGCAACGCCCATAGGGCTAATGTTAAAATGCCAAAATTAGGGGGCACGGTGCCCCGGTGCCCTCCCCGTTCCGCCGCCTATGGTTCTATAACTCTTAATGCATAAATCAATGCTACTGAGGGCTGCAAATTTGTTTTTTACCTATCTTTAATAACTGATGCCCTACCTTCATCTACCATTATCTGTAAGAATCTTGCATCAATCATCACCAGACTTCTTAGTTTTTTTTTTTTACATACCTACGCCCTAGCCGCGAGAGTGGGCGGGTACGACTCCCTCGCCTTAATTGAGCTAGCCTCGCGGGCAAAACGAGCATGTGTGCCGTTACGGGACCGGGGACGCAGCGATTGATGCACGGTTTAACCCTATTAGTGGCAGGCTCCTGGCTACCCCCTATTAGTGGCAGGGGGGGCTGTTTACGACCCCCCTTGATATCTCGAGATCTAACGGGCCGATTTTCAAAATTCAAACGGCATTCGATTTCGCTCAACGAGATCTACATTTCTAAAAAATAAAATTAAAAAATGTCAATAGGGGGTAGAGGGGGGTAAAAACGGGCAAATTGCAGATACATTTTAGACTATTTATCACGGCCAGGTTTCTGAACCAATCTTAACGCAACTTTTGCCGGTCGATAGAGAATGAACCAGGAATTCACATGGATCCTAAAAATATGCATTTTCAAAAATCATAGCCGGATACAGATCATTGAGATTGGGGGTACACAAAGAGTATAGTAAATAAGGTTTTTGTTGGTACTGTTTCTAAAAAGGGTGGCAATCGTCTTGTTATGTTACAATTTTCTTATGAGAGAACGACTAAAATTGTATTGGTCATGCATAGGCGGCGTCAGGGCACCTATGTTGGGAGGTAAAAAATAACCCCCCTTTTTGGACGCCTGGATCCGCCTATTATAGCAAAAACGTGTCAAAAGAGGATGCACAATAACTTTGTATATGTTATCACATGATACCTTTCATTCACTGTTCGTAAAACTGGTGCAGCATCGTGATCTTCGCCCAAATGACTCGCTTCACGAATAGGACCCCCCAATTCCCAGTGCTCTGGAGCCGCCCCTGGTAAAGTTATGAACTTGATATTTTCAGGGAATGTGCCCAATTTAGTTTTAGGAAAAGTCAGAAAATTTCAGCATCGTAGCTTCAGCGGTTTCGGAGATATTCCCGAAAAACCTTAGGGGTGGATAAAAACAACCCCCCCCCCCTGCCACTAATAGGGTTAAAAGTCTCAGGTCAACTGATGGCCTCTGAGGGTCAGGTCAAGTGCCCCGAGGGCCAAAATACGATTTCGGGTTTTGAAAAATAACTTTGTCAAAAAAAAAAACGGCGCAGAGTCGCGATTTTAGTACCATCATGTTTGTCATGCTCCGGTGCGTCAAAATGGTACACTTTTGTTTGGTTGGGGTCAACATAAGGTGTCCACATCGGATCAAAGCCAGGTCAGAGGCACTCAGGTCACGAACTTGGTCGGAGGAGGTTATATCGCATATCATTCGATTCGGTAGGTCTTCCCGAGTCTATTGGCGACTTTTCCGACTTGCCAGCTCAATTTTATCAGGAGTTATTGACGAAAAAACTTGTGACATTTGTGACGTCATAAATGACGTCACGTTAGGTTAAAGATGCAAAAGTGAAGCATTGGACATTGCAAGAATTGCATGAAATTGCGATTCCATGTGCTTGAGCTAGGTTTAGATCATTCTCGGCGTCAAAATTACAGTTTCCATATTTTCCCCATTGACTTGTAATGGTGACGTCGCGCGATCGGCCTGACCTCATGTGACCTCTAGGAGAAATCCGAGATATACACGTTTTGAGACTCCTAGAGGATACTAGGTCCTGTAAGTATCATCTCGCTGTGACAGCTCCTCTGGCACCGAGGGCATTGCGAAGTTTCGGTATTTTGGGACTATTGCAGAGGTTCACGTGTGACGTCATGGTTCACGTGTGACGTCATAAGTCAGTGACCTGACCTGAGACGGAAATGCAATTGGTTTCCAAAGATGCGTATGGAAGCAAAGATAAGGTGTGCCAAATAGCAGCCCTCTAGCTGTAAGGTGTTTTGAGCTATCGCCAAAAGTCGTGAGTGGAGCGCTACTGACTCCTCCGGTCGGCCGCCGGGGGTAAGGAGGCGTGCAGGGTATCGGAAAACCACCTGGTACTTTGCGAATTTTGCCGATAAAAATACGTTTCTTATGCCAACTTGTAGCCAAAAGACTACTGAATCTCAAACCAGTCGTATCCTTGCACTAAATGGCTTGGTTTAGACACGATAGGTCTGAAAAGAAAAGAACCCATGTATTATCTATGGGCGCCGCGAGGCCGTTGGCACCAGAGTTTCGGGAAGTGCCCTCGCCACAACCGCACGTGCAGATTTGGTCACGTGACGAAGCGCATTTGCCGCCACTGTATTTATATACACTGTGGGGAATGGCAGGGGACCCCCGTTTTAAGGGGAGTCTGTAGAAAGTCGCGCAACTCATTCTTGCTCATGTGTTGTACACAAGGGGGCTCAATGTCTCGGCCCTCGTCAACCGCTCGCTGCACGTTAACCAGTTCCATATAGTTGTTCGCTTAAACGTTAATTTCCGGCAGCCGGAAGTGCCGAATGGGCTGCTGCTGTGGCGGTGGGGGTGGCAGCTTTGGCGGCGGTCGTGGCGGCGGTGCCGGCGGTGGTGGTGGTGGTGGTGGTGGTGATGGCCGCCGCCGTTTCAGACGCCGCTGCTGCTGTTGTGGCGGCGGCGGCGGCGGCGGTGGCGGTGGTGGTGGTGGCGATGGCCGCCGCCTCTGTCGCCGCTGCTTCTGCTGTGGCGGGGGCATGGCATCAGGGCAGATGCAGTCCGCATAATCCAGAGCATTCGTCAAAAAAGGCAGGGACAGGAGCAGCCGCCGTTCCCGCCCCCGCCACAGCAGAAGCAGCGGCGACAGAGGCGGCGGCCATCGCCACCACCACCACCGCCACCGCCCCCGCCGCCGCCGCCACAACAGCAGCAGCGGCGTCTGAAACGGCGGCGGCCATCACCACCACCACCACCACCACCACCGCCGGCACCGCCGCCACGACCGCCGCCAAAGCTGCCACCCCCACCGCCACAGCAGCAGCCCATTCGGCACGTCCGGCTGCGGGAAATTAACGTTTAAGCGAACAACTATGTACCGGGTGGCCCAGAAAAAACGTTCCCAACTTTGAATCAATATTTCTCAGAAAGTGATAAAGATGCAACACTGAAACTTCCAATAGTCAATGCGGTCTATATTTTCCGTGAATGGTATGATTTTTATGTTATTCGGT